TTTTTTTTTTTTTTTAAAGAAAGAGCTAGTTTGCCGTCGTCCTCATTACTATGCGCGATTTGCGCGCCAAGAACCAGTGAACCAGAATTGGTATAATTTGTTGGACAATGAAAGCGGCAGGAGGTAGAACTTGCACTAATTCATCGCAACATGAATCAACTAATGATGAATACTTTTCTTACTATCGATAAGAAATATAACTAGGAAACCTATCCAACAGGTTAGCACACGGCCTTATCTTAACGAATGTCAAGACTCGGCTGTGGCCGACTTCGTAGTTATCTTAATGAGATTCCCCCCCTTATTTATTCATAAGACTATGACGTCGTCGTGTATTCTACTTTACTATAATGATATTCCACTTTAAAAAGAAACGGATAATATGGTACTCCCTATACTACTTTCACGTTTTGACTCCTCGGCCCTTTGTAAAAGAGGAAATCATTAATAGATTAATAACGTGGAGGAATTTCTGGACGCGATAGCTTAAGGAGTATAGCGTTTTAAGACTAAAAGAAAGGTGGTAATGGCAACGACCAAGTTGAAATGGTGAGAGGTGGGGTATCCGTTGACGACTGCTAATCAAGAGAACAGTGATGTATAGGTCTCTAGGATCCTTAAAATATTTTCAAAGTAGAGGTGGGCTTAACTTGTTCAAACAGTAGTTATGAAAATGGGCGAATGAACCTCATAAGTACGTCCCAAACAGAAGAGCGTGGTGTAGCGACTGGGTTCCCTTTTTCGATATTTGTCATCTTTTCAGGTTAACGTGACCTTTTGATTGAGTCTTGCCTGTTATGGATGGAGAGTGTTTACAGATTAGCCCTGTATTGTTTCAATTTCGAGCGGAGAGTTTGGCACGATTTAACGGCTATTCGCAGTTTAGATCGTAGCTATTCAGAGTAGCAAACAAATTTAAAGAAAATGTGATGCAGGTGCAGGTGGTCAGCAAAGTTTTCCTTTTGCTCATTAAACCTTTTAATATTTTGACCTTCCCGTTGCCGCCATCGTCACTACTGGGAGCAACCCTGTGAAGCCTATGTAAAGTTCATGTGAAAACCATGTGAAACTTTTATGGATGTGAAACATCCTGTGAAACACCCTGTGAAATGAGAAGTCCTTCTTGCACAAAATTATGAGGTTGATTCTACCCTGTGAAAAAATGTGTGAAATTGTAAAATACCGAAAAATTCCGAAAATAAGCCCCTCCATGTATAAGCCCCTCCAAATATAAGCCCCCCAATATGGTAACGCAAAAAAACCCTCCGTTAAATCGCCCCTCCGAATATAAGCCCCCCCGGGGAGCTTGTACTTGGAATTTGCCCTCGAATACAAAGTAAAACAAAGCAAAAATGGTAAATTTCCTTTCCACTACAAGCTAGCCCAATCGGTTTTGAAACGCAAATTTCCCTCCGTACATACGCCCCTCCGAATACAAGTCCCTCCAAAAACAAGCCCCTCAAAAAGGGCCTTTGAAAAATAAAAGCCCCGGGGCTTATTTTCGGAATTTTACGGTACTTTTTCGAACTGAAAAAGTCGTGTGAAACAACAGTTGAAATATCCCTTGATTGTAAGAAACATCCTGCGAAATCAAAATCACTATTCTAAAATATGAAAGCTACCCTGTGAAGAATTGTGAAATGCTAAGTTTCTGAGAAATATGAATGGGTTTCTTGCAATTAAATGAATTCTGAGGTTGTTGCAGCCCTGTGAAAAAATGTCTGAAATCCTACGTTTACAGTAATTTGTTAATACATATTAATTTTGTATGTGGTCGTTTTGCCTAAAATATTGGCCATTCTCCCATTGATTTGCTTGATGACAAAGAACACCCTTCAACACGACTTGGATTCCATACCTGCGATTTATTTATTGCTAAAAATGATCTTACATGTTGTAATCTCATTCGAGTTACTAAATCACTGTCCATAAAACTGAAGTCTACATGTACCACAGTGATCACAACGATCGCTCCATAAATTTTGACATATTTTGTGTGAATTTTTTTTTTACCGGAAAAAAGCTTTTGACCCATAAGTGTATGTATTATAAAGCAACTGGTCTTGACTCGTACCTGAGCTAGTCCAAACAATGTTCACAACTCGTTTTTCGTTGAAACTGAGTAAGTAATTAAGGCCATCGTTTCTTTCAAAAAACAATGCAAATTTTTCGTCCTGGAATACTTCATTCAGCTCTTAAACGAGGTGCCCACAGAAAAAAAATTCTAGTCGTGCGAGTATTTTCGCTACAAAGGCAAGTTTTACATCAAATTAAAGCTAAAAGACTAAATTACCTTATAAAAGATTTTATTTCATCGAATTTCAAAAGGCGCTTAATTTTTTTGCTCTGGACCTCAGAGGTATCGAATTTACTGCTGAAGCTCCAGCCCTTTCGCGTTGTTAAATATTCACTTTCTTTTTATTGCATCTTATTGACAGATAAAAGACCTAGAAATGGGTGTGTGGAAATTTCCGATTTCCCTTTGTAACTCATTTTATGTCAGTTTCTTTGCGTATATCGCGCTCGCGATTCCACTTTTTAGTTTGAAATGCAATAATTCCGCTAATACGAGACATATGCAAATTTCCTCACACCCCTTTTTAGGTCTTTTATCTGTCAATCAGATGCAATAAAAAGGAAGTGAATATTTAACAACGCGAAAGGGCTGGAGCTTCAGCAGTAAACTCGATACCTCTGAAGCTCTTTTCGCCTGAAACAGGTGGTCCCTTTCACGTTATTAGAAGACTGGACTCTAAGTCTATCTTCCTATCTCATCAAAATGTTCGTGTCACGGAAAATGGTAGAAATGTGACGGTGGCGACAATGGTGGAGGGAAACCACTTTTTTAAATCTCAAACAAAATGGAATGGATTATTTTATTGCTTTATAATGATGTTGGGAATTAATAGAAATGTGGCTTCGGTGGAAGTGGTGGAGGGAAAACAATAGAGATGCAGTGGTGGTGGTAAGGGAAAACCACTAAAATGTGGTGGTGGTGGTAGTGGTGGAAGAAACAATTGAAATGGGGTGTTGGTCTTGGGTGAAAAAAGAGAAATGTGGTGGTGGTGGAGGAAAATAATAGAAATGTGTTGGTGGTGGTGGTGGAGGAAAAACAATAGAGATGTGGTGTTGGTGGAGGAAAATAATAGAAATGTGGTAGTGGTGGTGAAGAGGGAAAACAACAGAAATGTGGTGGTGGTGGTGGTGGAAAGGGAAAATAATTATAATGTAGGGGCGGTCTTGGAGAGAAAACAATGAAAAGAGACAAATAAGTAAATGAATTAATAAAAATTAGAAAAAAATTGTCTTCTTTACTGTAAAAAAAATTATACACGATTCCAACAAAAACCAGTGTTAGCTTTCTAAAGAAGGTGCTCATATGATAGTATTATCACCCTTGCTTCAGTCTCAAGATCTTTAACATCACTTATTTTATTCAGGTGTTCCTATAATTTTGAATAAAGACAAGGAAGTAGCAGGAGAAACCGTTGTTATCATATGGGAACCACCACTGATTGGGGCGTGTTTTCTCTTGGAGTATAGAGTCTACTACAGAAAGGTTTCATTTACAGGGACTAGTCATTGGAGCTTCGTAACCGTGGACAAAAGTTGTACGAACCACACCTTGCACCTGGGTTGTTCCAAGGAGTATGAAGTCGCAGTTACTTCACTTAGTGCTGCAAATGCAAACACTGACAGCAGTGAGAGCAGTTTTAGTGACAGCCGGATATGGAACTTCACAGTTAGGAGAGGTAAGGTTGGGTATAATTCATAGTTATTGATTTCTCAGCCCAGGACAAGCTTCGCTGTAATTTGGTACTAATTTATCTCATGTTTACATAAAAGGGGGATGCATGATCCTTAAAAGGGCTGCAAATTTTCTTTTACTTTTAATGCAAGACGTGTCGGTCGCGTCGGTTAATAGGATGCTTAAGCAACGACGACGGCGACGGCGACGGCGACGGCGACGGCGACGGCGAACATAATTATAATGTGGGGGCGGTCTTGGACGGAAAACAATAGAAATGTGGTGATAGCGACGGACAGGGAAAACAATTCAAATGTGGTGGTGGTGGTGGTGGTGGTGAGGGAAAGCAATAGAAATGAGGTGGTGGTCTTGGAGGGAAAACAATAGAAATGTGGTGGTGGTATACAGCTTCACTATTCAAGGTTGGTATCATTACAAATAAATTGTTTTGAAACGAAAGGAGGATGTAGGGTCGATGTGGTCGGGTCGATGAGGGATCGATGTAGGGTCGATGAAGGTGTAGGGTAGTCGATGTAGGGTCGATGAAGGGTAGGTCGGTGAAGGATCGATGTGTGCTCAATGTGGGGTGGATATAGGCTCAAAAATGAGCAAACAAGAGAGGAGGGGCAGTGAATTTTTTTTTTTTTTTAAGAAAGAGCTAGTTTGTCGTCGTCCTCATTACTATACACGATTTGCGCGCCAAGAACCTGTGAACCAGAATTGGTACAATTTGTTGGACAATGAAAGCGGCAAGAGGTAGAACTTGTACTAACTCCTCGCAACATGAATCAACTAATGATCAATACTTGTCTTACCATCGATAAGAAATATAACTAGCAAACCTATCCAACAGGTTAGCACACGGCCTTATCTTAATGAATGTCAAGACTCGGCTGTGGCCGACTTAGTAGTTATCTTAATGAGATTCCCCCGTATTTTATTCATAAGATAAAGCAGCTCCTGGTTAAAGAAAAAAACACTATGACGTCGTCTTGTATTCCACTTCACTATAATGAGATTGCACTTAAAAAAGAAACGGATAATATGGTACTCCCTATACAACTTTCACGTTTTCACTCCTGGGCCCTTTTTTAAAAGAGGAAATCATTAATATAATAGATTAATAACGTAGAGGAATTTCCGGACGCGATCGATAGCTTAAAGAGTACAGCGTTTTAAGACTAAAAGAAAGGTGGTAATGGCAACGACCAAGCCGAAATGCTGAGAGGTGGGGTATCCGTTGACGACTGCT